GGCGGTAGGGATAAGGGCAGGGGGGGCGGGCGGGTGGTGTTTGTTTCTGGGTTTTTTTTGTTTTTTTTTTTTTTTTTTTGAATTGTTTGATTGATTGACTGGTTGGTTGTTTTTTGCGAGGGCTGAAGACTTACATCAAACTGACAAGCGCCAACAAGTAAATCCTCACACCACTCTATCCCCGGAAACTCAGCTGCAGATTCGGACAGTTTCGAGACCTTATCAAACGATGTTTCAACTGGGATTACATCGCCATCCAGCGCAGGCATAAGCGGGACTCGTGGAGCTTTAGCCAACAATTCATCCGCTGGTAGGTTAACGATGGCCTTGACTCGCTCCTCGGGGGAAAGCCCATCGAGCCCCAGCGCCTTGGTGACAGAACTGTACGCAAATTCTGTCACGGGAGGGGCGAGCGGGGGGGTAAGAAGGCCGCTGCCGCTGAGGAGGATGAGGCGTTTGAATAGGGGCTCCTTGGAATGGAGATGATACCAGGCGCTCGCTGCCGGTTGGTAGAATTGTTAGTATTGAGGATTAGGAAAGGAAGGGGGTGTAATTTTGTCTCACCGGCGCCAGCACTCTCGCCTGAAACAGTCACGTTGTCGGGATCACCCCCAAATCCTGCAATGTTCTGTTTGATCCATTGGAGAGCAGTTCGTTGATCGCGCAGGCCGTTGTTTGACTTGTATCCCGCATCGCGGAGTTCCTGGGAGGTTAGGAAGCCGGGTATGCCTAGGCGGTAACTGGGAAAGGGGGTTAGTTAAGTAGTCGTTCTCAACTCCACCTCCAAATATTGGCATATAAACTGGATTCTCACTTCATAGTCACCGCAATTAGAGGGGTACCGTTTTCCACGGAAAACTCGACAAATCTGGACATATCGAATTGCGGCCAGCCAGATGAGCCGATGGCGAAGCCGCCGCCATGAATGAAGACGAACACCGGGAAGCCATTGCCTCCCTGTGGAGGTGCCTCGGGGACAGTCACATTGATGCTCAAACCATCTAGATCCGAGAACGTGAATTCAGGCTTGGGCAGCGATTTCTGGATGAGTGCAAATTCTCTGTCGCAGCCTGAGGGGGGAGAAGTGACATGCGGCCTGGATGATTGTTAGCCTTTCTTGCCAGTTATAACCTTCATCAGATCGACATTGAACTGATGTAAGTAGTTTGTTTTCCTTGCTCGAACATACCCGTATGCTGTGGCATCTATTTTCCCACCATAGTCGCTGATAAGTTCTGGTTCGGCGAACCGGTCTTTCAACGAGGCATATTTTATCCCTCGAAAGGCCCTCGTTGAGTCCTTGATGACCCCGCGTATCTCCCCGAGTTTGGGATGTTGGAGGGTTGTCATGGTCTGGCAATAGGGGATTTCGGGTATTCCCTTTGGTACTGTCAATGTCTCGTTAATAGTAGCCAAAGGTAGAAACACAGCAAAGATATACAGCGACCGTTTATGACTTTTAAAGCCACTATTTGGAGTGCGGGGAGATGCTGAGGGGGAGCTATGGTTCATATATCGGCTTTGTTTACATGGCTGGGGTATGGATGCCACGACAAGGGGGCATTCACTTGGCATATCCCGGCACATAGCTAGCTGCGTCAGCGCATATCGTCAAAGAATGACGCCGTGGAACACATTTTGGCTGCATTCTCCACCATAATGTAGTCTGATATGGGGGACAAGTTGAATCTTCGGGTTGATAGTTCCAATTCTCGGTTGATAGATCGGAAGGATGTCCCCGACTAGATATCACGTGACTCCGTCGAACCCTAATGCGAAGCTTAAATTAACCGAACTGAAATATATAGTTTTAAGTGCGAAACCCACTCCAACAAACAAGCATCATTGGTCTAGTGGTAGAATTCATCGTTGCCATTCGATTCTGTAAAATTCGAAGCTTTCTCGATGAGGCCCGTGTTCGATTCACGGATGATGCATTACAATTTCTTTTTTTGTTTTTTTAGCCTTCCCTACTAAAGGGGTATTTGTATATTTTTTTCGGAGATGAAATAAAAATTTTAATGATATGCCTGGACATGAAAAGACGGTGGCTGGTATGAGACTTGCGAAATCGAGCAGTCTATTCGTGTGGCAGCGGTTCTAAGACCGGACGGGCATATATATGGCTACGGTGGTTGAGCTCGCGCTGTATTAATGAAGGAGATAGACATAGGGGTGGCCTGGGAAGGGGTTGATTTCCGCAGGTGGAAAATAGTGTATCCTCTAGGGATTTGTTATTGCTGTCATTCCAGTTATATTGGTCTAAGAGAAATGGAAAAATAGCGAATCATCGGATGGAATGAGGATAGCAATATCCCAATCAAACATTACCAGGCGCAAGCACCCACTTTGTTGATAGGATCTTCCAGATCATTCAATGCCATGTCAGGCAAATCCTGATCTTGACATAGCGGACAACGTGCATATGTGGGGTGCAATGGCTGGTAAAAACTAGTGATCTAGTCTTGAATATGGAAGCAGTGATGGTTCCATTTCATGAAATGGCCTGATAGTAACAAGGAACCAGACAACTTGGCAACCTTGAGAATAGACAACCCGATATCCAATTCGCTATTATCGCCAGCAGAAATTCCACAGCAATGGCAGCCGGGCTGTCATTGAGCAATATGCGACCGATCCTTGGAGCTTTTCCGTCCCCTGAAGACAGGAAAAAAACCCATCCACCACACAGCAGGCAGATCAGTCGAATATATCTCCAACCCCCTAAAGTCCAACCCCAGCCAAAAACCCACACCGCAAAATCAGGCTAATCCACGACGACCCAAAAACCCCCCAAGCAGTCCCATCCCAAAGCCACGGCTGTACATAATACCACTCGCTCCCGCCCTGCCCGCGCATAGCAATAATATAGACAAAGTCGCTAGCCAACATGCAGAGCATGAAAACTTTGTGGATCTTCAAGTCATTCGTCATCCGCATCATCAATCCCTCTATCAGCCCGAAAAACACGAGAACCGCGGCGAATTGTTGCATGACATAGGCGGTGGCGGGAGACACTTCGGATGTGCTATCGAAGGATGGGGCCAGCGTCATTTGGAGGTAGGCTGCTGGGCGGAAGTAGGCGAAATAGGCGCCGTTTAGGGCGCAGAATGGCTCGATGTATTGGAACCATATGTGGTATAGTAGGGGTGTTCTGGGTGCCATGACAATGTCTATGTGTGCAACGGCTGCGGCGGGATGGCGGGGAATAACAGGACACGATAACCGTTACTGGTTACGGGTTCCTATCCGGAAGAGCAATGTTTGGTGGGCGGAATATTTGAAAAAAAGCTCCGGAATAACTGCACGGAGGTTTTAACAAGCGTAATTAAGGCAAAGGTTTGTTCATAAAGGTTGTTTGTGCCTGGGAGCGGTTGATGGTGTATGCGTGTGGCTGGCTAGTAGATATGGGTGTGAAAAAAAGAAGTATTCAAAAAATGACAACAACGGCTGTCCTTTGTTCCTTTTTTTTCAACAAAAGGGCAATTTTATATGAATCCCCGCAGCATTTAGCGAAATTCTCAGAGAGTTAAGGTGACTTAACTAGGCGCGAATTCAGCTAACTAGTTAGTTAGTTAACCTAGTTAACTACGAGTCAACCAAAAGCGCGCCTATCCGGATTGTCTTTAACCCCAGAGCGCAAAGATGGCGCATTTAAATGTCAGCATTAATGGCTTGGCCATAGGGAAACGAGGCCTCCTCCTCCCCCTGCTGCTGCTGACGGATCTGAGTCAACCAGCTCCTTTCCAATTGCTGTGTCTACTGCTTATATGGAAGAACCGTTTTTGTGAAAGCCACGATCGTTCAAGGTCGAAAAAACAAAGAGGCTTGGAGTAACAGTGCAAGCCCTTCACATTTCAAGTTGGCTCCTGTCAAGGCCTCCGCGGGACGGTATAGAGAGTAGCTATTTATTTCGACCTTGTTGCCTTGATATCTCCGGCCTTCAAATTCTCGTATACGTTCTGTTCCCTCTCTTTTTGCTGTCCCTTCCACCGTTCCTTTTGCTCTTTGTGGCGAAGAGAAGGCAGGATGGATAAGGCAAAAATGAACAAGGAGTCTTTTTGATTCTTTCCTTGTCTGCTTGTTTTCATTCCATCTCATATACAAAGGAAGGAGGGATGAGATACACAGCCATTACTGCATGCAAACATGTGTCTTGTGTGATTGGCATCACTGTCAGAAATATCCCAAGTCCTCCATCAGCATCCTTGTTACACTTTCATACACTGGCATTGAATCTCAGAAACTATTGCAAACAGTTCTCTTGATGCTGCTCCTCTCTCAAGCTTGTTCTTGTCAGATAATCTAAGAATTGGCATTATTCACAGATGGTTGATATGATTGATGCTGGATATGGCACGCCGATATAATCATAACCCAACCCCAACTGACCCCTGTGTTCGTGCTCTGCTTGTTTCTCTTTCATTTTCCTTGTTCTGTGTTTCCTTTTCTGTTCTGATACTCTACTACAAACTGTGGCCTTGGCTGGTACATCCAGTTGGACCAGCTCTCCGCAGCTTTACATATCAAGAGCACCAGTAGCCTTGGGTGAGTTGATCCCTGGGGAGGTGAAAGAATCCACAGGCGTCTGTTTACATTGCCTTGCGCTTCTAACCCAAGTCTTCCACACAGAGACGCGTCTCAAAAAAAGCAATGGACTCAGCGACTCAGCTCGGGCCCCCGGTGACATTGACCGGCCCACTGCCTTACGTTATCAAAAGGTTTCCGAAGAAGGGGTTGGGGCTCGTTGCGAAACAAAGATATGGGGAAGGGCAATGCATTTACAGCGAAGAGGTCATGGTCACCACGAAAACCCTCGAGACCGCGAAGGGTTCTGTCGATTTATACAATAAGATCCTTCACACCAGCTTGAAGGAAGTGAAAGACACCGACTTCAAGCGGAAATTCTTCGAACTGCCCAAGGGATCCAAGGAGAAATACGGAGTACTTGGTGCTGTTTTCGACAGAGGCGCTATCAACGTACCGCTTGAAGCAGGAGATGCTCGTGCCCTTGGCTTGCGTTCGGCTTTCCTGAACCATTCGTGCCGTCCGAATGCGCAGCATACCCTTCTTACAGTCAACACGCCCGCAGGGGACAGTTTTATCATCTTGTTGCACGCTTGCAGGGACATCGAGGCCGACGAGGAAATTACAATCGCATATGACTTCATTTACGCGAACATTGCAAATCGCCAGGAATACACGCTTGAGAATTTCGGGTTTGAATGTGCCTGCGAGCTATGCGAGAACGAAGATCCTGCTGTTGAAGCCGGTATTGAGTTACTTTCTATGAAGGTCCCTATCATACTTATGGAAAAAGCATTCGCCACTGAGCCAGCTGGCACCCTCCAGATGACCCACACGATCATAGACATCCACATCAAGTCGGGGTTTATCTCTGATCCTCTCGGTCAGATGTGGAAGCACTGTGCAATGATCTGCGCCTGGCATTCGGATATTGGCAGGGCGATGGTGTTCCTAGGAAAGGCCAAATCCATTTTCCTTAAGATTGAAGGGACGGAGGGGCCAAATTTCAAGTTAACGTCCAAACTACAGGAGGATCCTATGAAGTTGGAGAAGGCTGGGACGACAAAGCGAGGATCTTCATCGATAAAGGATGTGCCTGTTATCTTGAACAACCCAGACAGACGAACGGAGATCCTCTTCATGCTCGACGCGAAGGAGCTGGGTGACTACATCAAGCTTTCTGACTATAATGAGGCCGGGCAATTTGAGGGCGCCACAGATCGGGACCCCAATATCGATGTCGACAAGTTGGTAAAGGAGCTCGAGGCGGAAAAGAAGGAGTTCGATGAGAGTCGCATGCACGAAAATCCCAGCAAGGCTAAGAAGAAGTCAAGGAAGAAGAAGGGGAAGAAGGGGAAGAGGGGTGGGAGTGGGAGTGGGGATGGGGATATGGTTGAGAAGGAGGATGTTAAAGGGGAGTTGGACAACTGAGTGTCTCACATGTTTAAATGTTCTGCTTAGGGGTTTGGCGCGTGCGTTAGCCACGGGGTTGGGAGATAGGGGGTGGATGGCGCCATGCACTATTGTTTTGATGATGGTTCTAGCTTATCAATTGTAATTCGGAGAATTCAAACGAGTAATTAGTGGCTAGTTTGTATGCTTAACATGAATACTAATTCCAAGATGCTGCCGTTATGAGTATCGTAGTAGTAATTGGTAGAAGATGAATAACTCAGCGCAAAGCATCGCCAGCACAGCAGAATAGGTTTATCTTCAATCCATGCTTTGATAATAAACTCGGAAAACCCCCCCATACAAAGTAAGGGAAACAGCTTGCACTGATATCCGTACTTCATCCATGTAAATCCTCGAAGCAGCTTGACCGGATATATATAACTCGGTTTGAATCGACGCGAGCAACATATCCACCCATAAGCTCGCTTGAGATCTTGGTTAGACGGCCGGATTCGCCTGAATACGAGACAAGTCCGTGGGTGGATACAAAAGCCATATACGCTCAGAGTGGCCTATGGATTGAGACAAACCGTGCCAGTACAATAAGCGGATCGCTTCCTGGTTCGGAAACGTAACTATAGCAGCTATTCTTTTTTGTTCGGGAGTGTGCCCCTCCCATAATCGCCCTGTCATATCAAGATGTTGAATATCGTTCTCGTTTCGAGAACGGTAAGCCGGATGGACGTTGATAAATGAGGTAGTTAAAATGCTAAACCAGATCATCGTCGCCACGAAACCCCAGCACAGCAGAGCAATAATGCCCATGGCAAATGTTACCACGTGGGCCGCAGCTTCCAACCAACTGCCTGCCCATCGTCGTCGTCGTTTTTGTTGTCGTTGTTGTTATCCTCAAGTAGTATTAATATTGTGTGGATGTTGTTCGGCCATTTTGGCGCAGAGAAAAGTAATATCACGCGTGGGCTTTTCCTCTTGTGTTCTCCCCTCATGTAGAGAG